TTTGCGGCTGGTATTGTAGGTCGTCTTGCAGCTGATCTTGGACTTCTTCATTGCCCTGGTCCTGTACCTGGTACTCTTGGTACTCTAATTGATCTTGTACCCCGTACTGCTGAGATTCAAGAGTCGGATCTTGTACCCCGTACTCAGCAGTCGGATCTTGAACCCCGTACTGCTGAGGTTCAAGAGTCGGATCTTGAACCTCATAGGGTTGGTGACCAAGGGTCTCATCATGGACCTGGTACTGTAACCCATTATGCACCTCATCTAACCCTTGATCTGGTACCTGATCTCCATTGTGTGCAACAAAATTCTGCTGATTTTCAGCTTCGGCCATGACTACAGCACTGCATAGAAATTCAGAGTCCAAACACACACATTAGTCCCATTATGCATTAACAAACAATCAAAGATTTTTACTTCAAAATCGCAGAAGGTAAGTTTGCAGATTCGAATCTGTTGTCTATGTAGAGCTACCAAACCCAGAGCCCTCAAGAATTCTATTGTCTTCTGGCGAAAAATAAGCTCCAAACGCAAGTCTCTAAGAGTGGATAAGATTACTCTATAGCACTACTGTGAGAAATATCGGCTAGTTCTACCCACAGATACAACGGAACCCTAGATCTTAGACCCGAGTACTCGTGAACAAGAAAAATTCGTGGCCGGGCTAATAGAAACCCTAAACTAGCAAAAAAGGATACATAGAGCGAGCAAAAACCCTAGAAATTACCAATGAAAAAGTGGGGAATATAGCCGGAAAGCTCAAAGATGAGAAAGTTAACTTACATGGTATCGAATTAACCTTCAACGCTATTAGAGAGACAAACGCAGACTCGCTTCAAAAAAGGTTTCGAAGGAGAAAGTGAGAGAAAGAGAGATTCCGGTAACAATGGAGGCGGGTGAAATTATCTTAAAGTTGCGATCGAGGAGAAGTGAACTTTACTTTATTACACTTTGACCCTTATAACTATAATACTTTCTATTTTTTACCAGAGAGTTAAGTAAAGTTAACCGAACCACACACAAATTAGGCCGCAAATATGGGTCATATAGTATGGGCCTTTGGTCTGCTTCAAGGCTTAGTATAATTTC